GGAAGTGTACAATAAACGTTCAGGAAGGGGGCTGAGGTCATACAAGGGCTGCCTGAGGTATTAAAGATACCACTCGACCACCGTCATCTGTACATTTGTCGTACATTTCCTCAGTCATTAAACAGAAAAGGAAGTAAAAATATTTATTTATTTATATACACCTTAGTTATGACCTCATGTTTATTAATTCCAGTGAAGTGTGCATAGTAAGACGCCGGCGGTCTCGTAACTGCAGTTTGATCGTGATTTCATCTCTACCTGGAGGAAACCTGTAGTCATACGAAATCAAAACAGAGGAGGCTATTATCGTAATGTAATCTCCGGTGGCAATCCTTCTCGATGAATAGTTAAAGTCGAATGTGTATTGTATCTACTCATAAGTAATATAATTTGTCATTCGACATAGTGCGCTTCCACTCACCATGATATGTACGGCAGCGGATTGCATGTTTGCGCACCTACGAAGTGGTTTTATTTGATGTCACACTCGAGCTATATTTGAAAACCATTCTTTTAATTATTGATATTCGATCCTGAACAGCGAAATAATCAGGGAAGGGCTCATGTATATTTTTTAACTTTTTCTCTTGAAAGGAAACGAAAGTTTATATTCCGTTTTCCATAGACTTTCGCTGTCGGACATATCTTTCACAGTTCCATTTAAGTGTCATCTATTGCAAGTTCCGTAACACGTTATTTTCTATGATGGATTAATTTCATGCGTCATTCGAATGCTTAGGTGTCTTAGGGATCCGATCGAACCTCATAAACGGAAGTAGGTAGCTACCAGTCGATTGTAGGGATCTTGTTAATTTTACTAGGTCCTACTTACGAAGAAGTCAGCTAATTCTAGTGTCATTGTTGTTTTCTGTGTACATTTTTGCCCAAAAACTTTTCTAATGCTATTTTATAATCCGTTCAGTGCGTTTTCAAATCTCACAAAACCTCTTCTCCACTCTGATTCATCCGTATCTTCATCCTATTTCAGTGAATATCTTTCATTAAAATCATTATTTGAATTTTTGTATCCCATCTTGCAGCGTTTGAAGGAGTTGATGATCAACGAACCGAGCAATGCGTCCCGGTCGACTCTGCAATCATCTCGCCTACTCGACTCGCCTTCCTTAACGGAAGAGGCACAGTATCGTATATGCATGCTAGGGATCAGTTATCGCGTGCCAGTTGTTCGACTCGAGTGGTTTTGGCTCTCCTTACAACTTACTTGTCTGTGTCGATTGGAACCTTATTTGTACGTGGCTGGTCCATCACGAAATACGAGCACATCACTCACTCATACTGGTCCAGTCCCATTGCCTCCACTTGCACGCCCTAGTATAGTTTCGATCGATGCTGAGGCATTTGGTGGCATTGGTGGTGGTACGGACCATCCGATCGCCCCTGTATTATCCATCGGAGCCACTTCCAGTCCGTTGCTCGGTGAGCCGGGTGCACAAATCTCTCTGATTACTTGTGATGACGCAATTGAAGAAGTTGACGAGCCTGGACCATCGCCAGATCGGAGTCCTGCGGAAGCGCCTATCGGTCCCACGTCGGCCTCATTCGCAAACGAACATCGTTCGGACAGTATGCTCGAGGAGAAAGAAAATCTGTGCCCACGAGAAGCGCATTCATTAAATTCTCCCGGCCAGGCACACCTATCACCGGAATATGACTTGCCTCGACGGAAGAGCGCTATTCACGGGGCTGTGCGGTTAAAATCACCATTGGCTACATCCACAGACAAGGGTGAGTTTCTTTTGAAGAGGGAGGGGGTTCTAGTTACTTGTCGGGTTTGTTTGCAGTTCCTGAATACACTTTGTGAATGTGCTACGTTCTGTGCAACAGGATAACGACTGAGAAGCGCTAGAAGAGGATCTGGTTAACAGTCTTCGCGTAATCTTACATTCAAATTAAGTTGAGTGGAATTGCAGACCGGGGTCCAAAAGACGTACGGCGGAGAATGTTCTTCTCGTCCTGGTAACATCTAATGGTTTTTATGACTGATCACCATCATTACTGAGTACAACACACATGAACTAGATTGTCAGTTATACAGATCAAAACTGTACTACTATCTCTGTAAACGCCGCGACAAGAGAGACCCGGTAGTTGTCTAAATCATCCCGTATCACGAACGGTCTCTTGTTCATTGTAATTCCCAGCTGCCTTATGGAAGGGAATAAGTGGCTCACGGGGTCAACTATGTTAACTAAGAATGCTGATATACCACCCACTCCGAAAAAAAACAGATTAATCTTGTTTAACAGTTGTTTCCCTATTACAAGTGATAGATATATTCTGTTTGCAAGCACTGTCTCGTACAGTGACTGTTTGACTTATTAAACAGAATTCTTCCGGTTTTTTTGCATGCGTTCTAGCTGTCTCGGATCGTTCGCGTTCTATGTTCACTCAGTCATGAAAGGAAATATCTTCTGTTTTGTTTTGCGAAATTATAGTCTCAATTTGATTTCAGTTTCATTCGTCACATCACCGAGGCACGCAAATAGTCCGCGGGGTTTTGTCAGTCCACCCGGAGACATGCGCCGTAGTTTCGGTCACGTTCCGAATCCGTTGCGCTCGGGGTCCAATCTGAGCGCTCACTCGAGTCACGACAACCTGCTCACACAGTTAGCCGATCCGCTCACAGTTCCCAGTAATCGTGAGCGTCGTCTGTGCCAGATTGCCAGTCAGCAACCGATGCAATGCGACGGGCAAACGCAATCCCCTCCTCCTCCGCCGTCTGCTGGATCCCTAATGACACCGTCGGAATTGGATGCTCGCGGTCTATCTGCGGAACTGCCCGGTACATGTTGGTCTCCGGGCAGTTTTAACTCGGCCCTACTGTTGAATGCCACAAATGCGAGCGATTGTAACACCAGTTGTGCACAGGCACAAAATCGTGGCAGTTATGGTTTGGGCTCATTAGTGGGTTCATTGCGTGATGTAACTCAGAAAGGTTCCGTAGACGGTGAAGTCATTCTCGATCCGGATGCGTCTGGAACACTGAAGTCACCGGCCGCACAGATTATCGGTAAGTTCATTCCACTTTAATATCCGGATTGCTCAGCCCATTTGATTGGTTAAATGACATACAAATGTTCGTCGACCAAAACGAATTTTCCCGATTGGGTAAACCAAAAATGGCCCTAGCTCTTGTCCTGCTTGTTGTTCCTCAATCCCCTTTTTCCCTGTCTGCCTGGTGATTTCTTTAGAGCATCATAGCATGTGCTACTGTAAAGTGTTCGAGCACTTGTTTATCTTTTGCCTACAATTCAGTCCTGTTTCATACATCGAACTCGGTATTGCTGGTATTCATGTTTCCCCTTATCCGGTAACTTGAACAGCCATTGTAAACAAATGGTATATAAACTGTACTCAACCTTGTTTGTAAACGTCAAACAGAGACTGTTTGTTATATTCGACTCCCCAGACGAAGGGCTGTCCTAAAACGACGTTATCTTGGATAAAACACGGATCATGCGAATTCGTTGCTCCTACGACTTTTGTAATTCCTCGTCCGCGTTTACTCGGCATTGCTGGAATATAAATGGATTTTTTCCCCATGTTATGCTTCCGGACTCATTATCCAAGTTTCACCTTAGATTTTAGAATGGCTTCACATTGTGGTTTATGAGGTGTCCGCGAAACGTTTAAGGTCCTTTAGTCAGAACACCAATTCCGCGAGAAGCCTTATTTTTGAGTGAGTTGCCACATCTATTCATGGAACACACCAAATAGGTTTTGTGGGTCGATTTCTGTTTGTTAGACGTACGGCTTTTGTCTAAGTGATACGAAAAAGGGTGTGGCTTTGGAATCGATTCGGTTCGCCTACATTCGGTCTCATTCCCATTCCAACGGAGCGACCTACAAAACCTCAGCTCAGGGATGTATCAGGAGAGAAAGAGGCTAAATACTGCTCCCCACCCACACACAAACACTGTCATCAATTTCAGTGAAAACTTGCAGTCAACTGGAGCACAATTTCTCGTATCGATTCACCGAAACCGCCTCCCAAAAGACCAAAATCAGCTATCCAAAATTTGATTATCTGAATATCTGGTTGAAATGATAGTAAGTCAGTTGTTTGCAACATGTCTGTGGCGGATCGAGATTGGAGGGCATAGAGGGAGAGACTAAGAACCACAAAGAAAGATATGTAATGGAATAGGACCGGCATAACACAGTGCCGTGGAAAAATGGCCAGCCACATACTCAGTTGACCATACGGGAGTAGTTGCNGAGACCGGTCAGGTTGCTCGTCCGCGATCTGGACAGCATTCTTGGTTTGGCTCAATAATCTGGGGCGAGTGCGACTGCAGAGCGGACGAATAAGTGTTAGTCCGTGTATTCACAACACATGCCACACAGCTATGAAAACAACGCTTAGAGAGAAGAGCCACGATTGTCGAACGATCAGGTGAAAGCATGTCCTATTGTCATCTACAGGGATATACAATAAGTGATTTTTATCAATAATAACATTCGTGTCAAACAAGAACAAATCGCGGCTTCCATTTGGGGTTTATTAAGCTGCTTTACAACAGTGTAGCCCAATGGTGAGATTGGAGATCATAAGGCGATGATTACTGGTTGCTCCGGAGGAATGTGTAATCGTCCATTTTCTTTTTGGTGCTCAATTTATTTACAAGGAGTATCTCTAGTGACTGAAAATCAAGATTATTTGCGGAAGATATTTTCCTTGGAACGTAGTACCAGTCACTTGAAAACAAACCACCCGTTTGCAAGTGACATTCTCGGGATTAGCGTAATCGATGGTTAGAGACACTGGGTGATATGGCTGAGTGTCGTAAACAATGCCGCTCGTGCATCTACTCCATATCCTTGCAACCTACGGGAATTCTCTGTATGTTCATCCTGACGCTGATTTGAACATCCCACTACTTCTCTTTACTCCGTCATCCAAATGGGCAATCATGAGAAACCAATCGAAAACGTCCCGCGAGAAAGCGTATGGTTAATGGTTGTCAAAGCTGAATTCGGTACTGATTATCTGCTATCGTGAATTAGACTCACCTCGGTTGTCATCATTGATAGTCAAAGGGTTCTGCGCGTTCGGTTTCCGATGTATTCTTATGGACAGTCGAAAACAGAATGCTTCGTGTGGTGTGCTGAGCCATTCATAATATCCCGTGTTTTCTATCTCTCATCAGGTAGTCTCGTGGCATGATATAATCGATGGAGGTCTGGCGTCTGACGTGAACGGCTATGGTGGAGGAACTAGGGAAATGATAGATCTACGAATTTTCCTCGAATCATGTAGTGTTCTAATAGATTGGATTTTCAAGAATCTTTTACGTGGTTTTCAAAACGAATACGTCATTGGTTGAGAAGTTGAACAAAACGTTTACTGCCAACGCGTTACGCCTGTCTCAACGTGAGGCAGACTCGCGTAAAATGTGGCTTCATATTGTTTTTGCCTTTGATCTCCAAAACTCAACATATACGGGCTTTTGGACTGAATGTGAGTATTCATACCACCTGCTTGCGAATAATCATGGTGCCAACACGAACAACAGAAAATGAAGAGGTTGAGACGCAAAACAGTGCGACTGAGGACATTCAGTTCTACTGGGTAAAAATGTGGTTGCCCTGGCACCTAGTATTGGTCTGAAATGGCCCATGGTGGCTTGCTTCTTAAACACTTATTCAACCGGTACTCATGCCCTATCCTACGCAAGCTTCTGAGTTTCTCAAGTGATCTATTCTAGAATGAAACATCGGTGATGTCAACGTTTAGATTGCTTGGTGGTCTAAACTTGGCCGCCACATACTGCCTCACAACTTTAACAAATTGCGTTTGAGTGCACAGGCCGTTGATCAAACAGGGGTTTTTCTTGTCAGACAGCACACATGAGTGAGACAATCACTTCTTGTTCGAGCGCACATTTTATGCTTCCTAGTGTGCTGTGAGTTCACGAGAAAAAAGGGGATTATTGATACAGCGTTCCTTTGCCTCCATGGACACGCTCAATCTCTGGCCAAACGGACGGAAGGCTGTGATAATTGCAGTGAACGATCGCACGCTTCTCTCCACCGCAAACCCCGATCGGATGTTTCTATCGGACACTGAACTGACGCGTTTGCGTATCGCTCGCTACGGTTTGTCAGTGATCTTTGTCCCGCATTGTGGTTCCGGTCCCGGAACTCCTGTGTTCATGCACTCGCTTGGGATGGAAATGTGAAGCCATTGCAACACTCACACGAATAGCATATTAGAAATTCCGCAAAAAAAACTAGACCATTACCATCTGTCTGACTGGTGGTTAATTGACTTTCTTATCCGACTTGCCTCCTGACTCATTCGGCTTTGTTCACGTTCGTGCTTGTATGATGTTTGTTGCCCGTTTCACCTGTCATTCATTTGTTTTTTATACCACACACACCCACTGCCTCCAACATCCCTTATCCTACTTCGCTATGTCCCCTGTACACGGGCACGTGATTTGTGTAGTAGATATGATTGTCGCAGTGACTGCCCTATAGCAAACGACCCGCAGATCAGGTTGGTCATCCGTTGGAACAATCTTGCTGAGTCGGTTCGGGCAGTTTAGCCNCACAATGCACATACACCAGCCAGTCTTCTGCTCACTGATCTTTTGTCAAGACACTGAGGCTGTGATGGAATCGTTCGTTTGGGATTAAATAGCTTACAGATAGTTTTTCTGCTGTATCCCTCTAAAACGGTGATTTTATGGTTGTGATTGTGGGATGTAAGTTTCCCATCTGATGAGCAGCAGCAAGCGCGAAACCGGTCCCGCGCTTCCGGGGAAATTGTATTCAGTCATACATATATCGCTTATTGTGTGCAAATGCGACAGACCTACTCTAACTCGGCACTGTTAGTGTCAAACTAAGACCATACCAACTGATCATCTTTGATGTGGAGAAAAGCGGGTTCTCATTGTCATAAACAGATTTTAACTTATTACTAGTGTTGGATGATGCTGAAAGTGAAAACCCACGGTGAATCAGCACTGTTGTGAGTAATTTGAGATTAATCACCATTAAAAATTGCCTCATTTTCAATAGTTTTCATAGTTTCACAGTGAAAGTTGTTCACATTAGAAGAATTTAAGCTTTCTCTTTTCCTTTCTTGTACAACGCATAGGTAACCATACACAAACATCAACACCAGCCAGTGGAAAGCACAAGTCCACCAGTCGTTTGAGCCTGTTGCATAATGCCGCACGAAAATCTCGCACACCTGCGTCTGATTTCACCGTCAGCGGCGGTCGCAGTGGTGGCTCACCAAGTGTCTCATCGAGCCCTCATTTAGATGGTAAGCATAAACGTTTACCGCTTCAACCGTAGTCACTGTATCCAACTTCTTGTCGGTTGAGTGTTTGTTTTTGGTTCCCGGGGGAAGGGTTGAACCAGTTATCACTTTTCTGTAGGAGTACACTTCTTTGGACCACTGGACTGACAACTCATTGTTAAAACGGTTGACTATTTATGATGGTAGAGTTTGAGTGAATGATCATCCAACTAGCCCATTTGACTAGCTGTTTAAACGCATTTCCTGATTATTGTGGTGCATTTGATCTTGAAAGTTGCAGCTTCCGTTGTTTCCCATTATTATTTTATCTTGCTGATGATATGGTACGCTAATCCGTATCAAACCAGCAATGTGTTCTTTGTTTCAGTGAACCGTGGCGGAATTTATGCGGTTGAACGAACCCTGCACTAATGATCGATGGCTTGCCATCAGCCTGAAAAAACTGCCGACTATCATGCTATTTAGGGTTTGACTACTAAACAACTATCAGTAGTGTATTTCAAAATGTGAAAATGTACTCCAGGATTACTGCTATAGGTATGCGATCATACTGTTGTTTCAGTTTTCGAAAATCACCTACTCTCCAAACATGTAGCATATTGTAAACGTGACAAAGACAGCGAGGTCCTCCATACTGTATTCTGCTTTACCTGGATGAGTATGGTGACTGTTTTAGATCCGTTCGCGTGGATCCTGACCCACAATATTTGTGTAGTTATTAAGAAAAAGCTAATTTTATTTATATTTTATCCTTTCAATGGTAGGTGATCGTCCGCACTTTTGTTTTTCATTTCTGCCTTGTGTTTTAATATGAGGTCCTCTGTCAATGCAACTGTCCACCAGAATTCGCCGTGGTTTAACCATTGAACAATAATTTCCTATTGTATTGTCTTGTAAAGACTTCTACAATCATTAAGCCCGCATTTTAGTTAAAAAATATACAGTTTGGAGCAAGGGAGAAAATGAAAATAACAATGGAAAAAGTGATTTAAGTTCGAAAAACGTTAACAAATTCTGTGAAAACCTGTTCTTTGTTGACAAGAATACGTGCTAATGAGAGTACTGTGGAGGTACGATAAATGTTTATTCCGGAGGGAATACAACGATATTGTGATCTAATTGAGGGATGGGAACAACAGGAAGTTAGGTCAGCGTGTAGCGGATGTGTGGAGTCGATCAGAATCTTATGCGAAAACTTAGGCTAGTAAACATCACTTTCTATCTTTGTCACTCCATTAGGCTTAGTTCAGGCGGATTGTGTGATCACAGTGATGGTTTTCGTGAACCCGAGCATTTGCACCGGTGCTCGAATTTATTCTTCTCTCGTTGTTCGACTGGTTTCGGTCGGTCGCCACTCTTTTATAGGTTATTACTTTTACTTCGTCAGACAGGCAGAAGAACACAAGTGAACGATCATCGTAGAATAATCTCATGACAAAAGAACTGTGTGCCCTATTCTCTAATGTCGTGGACATTGATGATATTCTTTCATTGAATCAATTCATCGTCAGTTTACTTCTTTGCTGTTGCTGATTACCGCTATCTAGTCACGCGGTTAGTTTGTTTACTGGGAACTGTGTGAATCTGCACTTATCCACAGGTCTCCGTGACACCCCTCTTCGTGTTCGACTGGAAAAGCGTCAGCATCGCGTATTTGAGTTCTTTGTCACCGAGCGGAACTATGTGGATATTCTGCAATATCTTTACCGTGTTGCGTATCCGGTGAGTTGAATTCTTTCTGCACGTTTTCTCGTTTAACCGATCCGTATACTGGAGTTTCATCTCCTCTCCTTTGTTTTTCTGCACCGAACTGTTTATTTGCTTACCTCGTTTTAACGGGTTCACTGTTCGATAGATCCAAGATAAATCGGAAGCACATTTCCCTTTCGGTGGCACAAGCATCAAACCCAAAATTTTCAAAACTCATTCATATGATGGTATATATATATATATATATATTTCGCGATTGGTATTATGTGAATGACTCGACAGAATTTTCCTGGAAGCACGGCGGGTTTCGCGATTCTTGTCGCTCGTCAGGCACGTGCGTCCGATAATCTTTTGCCATTTCATTCATATAACTGGTGCCCAGGAGGTGTACTTTTGTCTCAATAACCTCATTTGCAACACCGAATAATTTCCGATGGACAGATCTTTCAGAGTTAGCCCATTTAAGAACGAATACTGTGATTTGATATTTTTTTGATGGATCAAAGTAAAAGTGACTCATGAAACAGAACAGTTACTATGAGGCGTAACCCTAGGTTTCAATTTGGAATGTCTGAGGACTGAAATAATTTTGGAAATCAAATATGCAATTATTAGTCTTCTTTACGTAATATTCTATACGTTTGTGGGTACAAACGTATCATAAGCATTCAAATATTTACTACCAATTCAGTCAATGGAGAGAGAGAGAAAGCGAGATGTGAGGGACGTGTTTATATAGAATAGGCATACATATGCGGTAACGGATAGTTGGTGCAACTGACAGGCCTAGTTGTTCTTTCCATGGACTGTGTTCTTTTGCATGTATCTATCTTGTCATGTGCTGTTCATTGTTAGATCCACAACAGTTGCATCACTTGTTCATCCTGTCCACCAAACGGATTAGCATTGA